CACAAACTAGGAAATCTAGAGAACATCGATAAATTCCTGGAAATATGCCCTTCAATCAAGAAGACATAGAAACTCTGAACAGAACAATAACAAGTAGCAAGATTCAAACAGTAATTTTAAAAATTGCCAACAAAAAAAGTTCAGGGCCAGATGGATTAACAGCTGAATTCTATCAGACATTCAAAGGACATACCAGGAAAGGTATACTTCATCAGGAAAGGTATAGTCGAACTGACACTACAGATTCCAGTCTGGATCTGAGGTTCTAAAAACAGGGAATGCTGAGGGCAGAAGATCAGTGTCCCAGCTCCAGCAGAGTTAATTCAACTTTTCTCTACCTTTTTGTTCTATTTATGTTCTCAACCTGAATAGATTAGATAATGCCCATCCATATTGAGAAAGACCATCTGCTCTTCAGCTCACTGATTTAAATGCTAATATCTTTCAGAAACATTCTCACAAACACACCCAGAAATGATGTTTCACCAGCTATCTGGACATCTTGTGATCCAGTTAAGTTGACACATAAAATTAATTCTCACAGATGCCAAGACAGTCCAATTTCTTGAACATTCGATTATGGATCAAAGTTGGAGAGTTGACATAATTCTAGACAAAATAGGAAAAATTACTATAATCATGGCTAAATGGTAGCAAATTGCTTTTGGTATATTTTATTTGTTGAGCTAGAGAGAACACTTTTGCTATGTTCAAACCAGATACCAGGGGTGATGTTGATTTATACCAGCAGAAACATCTGAACCAACAGCTGCAATTGGATTTGCCTACTTTAATTCTATCTTTCTAATACTTATTCCTTTCATTTATTTGCCTGGCCCGCTGGGCTGAGATGTCCACTGCAATCTTGAACAGCAGAGGCGAGAGTGAATATCCTTGCTTTGTTTCTAATCTTAGAGAAAAAAATGTTTAGCCTTTTTCTTTTCGTACAACATGAGTCTGCAGTAGGATTTGTATACATAAAGTCAGAAGTTTAAGAAAATTTTCTTCTATTTCTAGTTTGCTAGTTTTCTTTAAAATAGGAGTCAAATTTTATCAAATTATTTTTCTGCATCTGTTGATATAATTATATAATTTTCTCCTTTTATTCCCAGTAAGGTGGTAAGTTACCCTCAGTGATTTGTTTTCTAAAACAAACTCAACCTTGTGTACCTGGAATATATCTTCTGAGGTTGTGATGTATTATTCTTTTACAATTTGCTGAGTTTGATATGTTAATACATTGCTAAATATTTTTGCCTCTAGATTCATGAGGGATCTTTGCTGTAATTCTCATTTCTTATAATGTCCTTGAATAACAGCACTTTGTAAATATTTTTTGAATTACTGAATTCAGTAGAAAATATAGAACACAAAAATATGATATACTATTATAACTAAAATACACACAGGACACACATTCATTTGGAGTGAGGACTCAGACAGACTTCCCCACTTTCGGCGGTACCCTGCTACAGTCCATTCCCCTTAATGTGGACAACATAATCTTCTTAAGTGTAAATGTTGTCTCATAAATCCCTTCTTAAAAAAATCTATCCATGGCTTCTTATAACTTTTAGAACAAGGTTTAAACTCCTTAGCTTTTTAAAATTCCCCATCTTTTGTATCTTCTAAGTACCAGCAGAGAACACGAACACTTAGCAATGTGCTTTTGTTGTTTCTGGGCTTCGGCAACTTGCCACCCTCTGTCAGGAACCCTTTATCTCTCCTCTTATTTATGTCTTCTCATTTTCCTCTAGCCATTGCACAGGTGCACTTGTGTGTGTGTGTGCGCGCGTGCACACACACACACACACACACACACACACACACACACTGTCATTTGCCTGGCTAATTCCAAAACATTCTTGTGGTCTCCTCTTAGACATAATTTTCATCATTTCCACTAGGAAAGATCTTTATCAATTAGATATTCTTCATCATGCACCCTAGTTGGTGTGAAAGAAGATAAAGCAGGCTTTGTCAGTTTTTGTCTGGATTCAAATCTCAGCCTTGTCACTTAATTATCTAGGGACATTGCACAAGTTATTCAACCTCAGGGCCTCATATACCTCAAAATGTACCTAAGATGGTTTATTATGGGGAATAAACGAAAAGGATATATACTGTATATGTGTATTTATCTGGCACAGTGCATAGGATACAGTAAATTATCAATAAATGGACATTATTGTTATTTTGCTATGTTATTTTTACTATCACAGAACTTAGCACCATATATTACAGTTCACATATTTTTCCAATTCTTTTATGAGATAGTAAGTTATTTAATGCTTTATTCACTGTTGTGAATTTTAGTTTTTACCATAGTACTGGAAATATAATAGGTGTTCACTAAATGTAAACTGTTGCTATTATTATAAACCTCAGAGCTAGATTTTTTGTAGGTGGGGTGGTCTTGAGAGTTGACCAGAAAAGGAAGTTTTGTTTGAGGGGTAAGTGAAATTGCTTGGCACTTGAAGGACAGAGGAGTAGCGCATGGGATCCTGCAGGTGACAGAACGCGTATGAGCTGATCATATTAATATTCAGGGACTGGCATTAACTATAGCATTAAGCACCGTGGCTTTGGGAGCCTAGTTAAAATAGGAAAGTGTTTTCAAGTGAGCCATAAGGGCTTGTTCAATAAGAAATTGTAGAATAAAATTCAAAGATATGGAGACTTCTTTTCCCCAGGAACTACCCAGGACCCTTGGACAGCTATAGGAAAGAGAGGGGTCACATAAAAAAAAAATGACAGCAATTGGATATCCTATGAGTTGTGCAGGGCTGAGCTAGATTTTGAAAAATAAAGACATCAGCATAAATTATTGCCAATATCACACATTAGTGGGGTTGACAATTCACATAGGTGTATTCTGTGAGTGGGCGCCAGGAGGTAGAGAGTGAGTTGAAAGAGGAGGATGTAAATACAGGATGCTGAGGGGCAGTCTCCATGCTATAGCCTGCTGATGACTAGTTCTTGACCTAAGCTAAGTCAGGTAGGAAAAATTTGGATCAACACAAGAACCTGCTGCTCTCCTTTGGTCACCCCATTCTCTGGCTTCTTCATCTGTGGTTCTGTGGGATGAGGGAGCTGTGGGGCGGGGCGGGGGGTGGCGGATAAGGAGTTCTATGGCTGCCATTCTTTTACCTTGAACATCATGGAGAAAATTTATACTGATTTAGTGCCACTTTATATTTTTCTGGTTCTGTTTTTTACTTACTATTAATGGACTTTAAGCTCACCTCAAAGACTCCCTAGTTATTTTAGGGGAACCTAGAGAATTCACAAAGCCCTCTGAGCTTCTTTCAACGGTCCACATCGCTACTAGTGCCTGCCAATGATTTGCTCCAACTGTTGCCCTGATCAAAACCTCGAGGCGGCTTGCTCACCCTGGAGGTAATGGCCTCCACTAGCAGATGAAGCTGGTCCTAGCATGGACATTAGCACCTTTGGTGTGAGCACTGGCACTGTCAACGACCACAAATTTGGGAAGATAAACACAAAGCTGTGCCATAACAATTTTGTTAAAGCAAAGAGGACCCTTTCCCTTATTTTTGTAACATGTTTTGCTTCTTTGATTCTAGAGCATCTTTGTGGTCTTAATGGACTCAGCAGCTTTCATAGTTTTACATCTAAAAATCATTAGTTGATTGCCTTTTGAGGAAAGCACACACCAATGGTGAAAACAGATCTTGGGGGATCTGGGAGGTGCACCCACAATGTTGCAACAATCATATCATCTCAGTGTTGTGCCATGTCCTCGACACAACACTGACTTCACCTATTTTCTCATTTAACTTTTACAACTACCCTAATTTTGCAAATAAGGAAAGTCAAGATTACATAAATGAGGAAACCTGCCAAAGCTGACTAGAGCCCAGTATTTTCTGAGATTCTAAGGGTGCCAGTGGTAAAAATGCAGCCTGAGAGGCTGGAATAGAGGCAGTTACAGTAGGTGTCCAAAAGGCCTGGGACATGTGGGTCCCTTTTTGTCTGGCTACCTGCATTAAATAATTCCTATTAAGAGTGAGGAAACACAAACAAACAGATGAAAGGTCCTCCTTTTGACCTTTGTGCAGTCCTGTATGTCTAGACCTTGCCTGTGGATGTCTAACTGTGAGCAATGCTGTGAGTGTAATTAGCTTGGAGGGTCAGGGAGGAGATGAACTGTAAGAAACTAAGCAGTCCTGATGGCCAGCAGCTGCAGATATTTGCCCAGATCATCCCACACAACCTCTTGTCATTAGAGAAAGGAGATTTTGGAATCAGAGTTTTCATATTATCAGGGATGGGGCAGTTTAAACACTTTCAAAAGTATTTTAACAAAAAGAGCTCAATGGATGAAGAAATAAAAATGTAATGAGAAAGAAAATACTTCTATACATAGGGTTTTGTTCTGAAAATTGACAGGAAGGGATTCCATAGCAATTGCAGCCCACCCAGGGATGCCATTTAATCAGACATTTAGTGGGCAATTGGGAGCTGAGACCTAAGGGTCATGATAGGATTAATACTTTTTCTCTGAGAGCCAAGCAACACACCTCCTGCACCCCCACCTCCCTGAAATGCACGAGGTTGTGCCACAGAGGCCAATAGACAATTGAGCAACTGTCTGGTGGTCTAGTTTGTAACTGGAGCCTTTAAGACCATGGCTTGTTGACCCTTGAAATTCTACCCACTGACCTGGCATGATGAGCTATTATATTTGTCTCTTGGAGTTTGAGTACCTCTTTCTCTAATAGTGGAATGACTCAATATGCAGGAGCATGTTTGGGGGACACTTTTTCATTTGATTATCTCTCACATATCTCACTGGTCCCCAGTTTTTCTTCTAGTGGAGTTGGGGGCTTTAATCCAGGACTAATTGTGAGGTTGTTTTTCAGAGTGTATCATGGTCACTCTGGGATTCTGATTTGCTTTGAGAAGAAAACCCAGTTTATGGCAATTTAGTTACAGAGCTTCCCAAACTCATCGTAATTCTCCCAGTTGGATCTCACCTGTATTTGTGGTCAGGGCCATTTCTCTGTCCATCCTCAGGACACCACTGCTCTGCATGGGAAGGAGCAGAATCTCACAGGAGCTCTTTCTGTGTGTGAAAGCCAGGAGGTTAACAAAACACCTCGCTTCTTGAAGGTAATTATAGACTTGTGATTCTACAAAATCCAGCATGCATCAGAATCACCTGTTGGGCTTGTTTAAACACAAGCTTCTGGGTCCAGCCTCAGAGAAACTGGAATGGACTCCAAGAAATTGCATTTCTAGCAAGTTTCCGTATAATACTGATGTTGCTGGTTTAAGGACCGTACTTAGAGAATTACTAAATGGAGAAAAGTTTAGACATGAGTGGCAGAATGTAATGCAGTATGCTGAAAGTTCCATATTGATGACACAGATTACAGGACAAGGATAATTGTTGGTCAAGCATTTGGTAGATCAGGTGAGGAAAACAAAAATGGGAAATTTTGATGATTCTAGCTTTACTGCCTGTATTCCTAATTTCTGGAGAATTAGGAATATGGAGAATTCCAATATTAAACATCTGAGAACTAAAAGCATGATAATTATCCGATTAGCTTAGGCATGAAATCCAGGCAATTTCACTTCTAAACATCTCTCCAATCTTCCTTCCTTCCTTCCTTCCCTCCTTCCCGCCTTCCTTCCTTCTCTCCTTCCTTCTTTCCTTCCTTCCTTCCTTCCTTCCTTCCCTCCCTCCCTCCCTCCCTCCCTCCTTCCTTCCTTCCTTCCTTCCTTCCTTCCTTCCTTCCTTCCTTCCTTCCTTCCTTCCTTCCTTCCTTCCTTCCTTTTCTTTCCTTTCCTTCATTCATTCTCCTTCCTCGCTTTCTCCTCTCTCTCTCTCGCTCGCTCTTTTTTTTGGGGGGATAAGGTCTCCCTCCTCTGTGTCTTACGATAGAGTACAATGAAGCTATAATGGCTGGCTCACTGCAGCCTTGAACTCCTAGGCTCAAGAAATCTGTCTGCCTCAGACTCCTAAATTGCTGGAATTACAGGCGTGACCACTGTGCCCGGCCTCTATCTAATTTTCTTCATCTTACTGAGACTTCCTAGCTCACTCTCTAATCACCTTCTGCTGTCTCTATTCTCAATGAACTCTCCACACAGCTGTGGAAGCCATTATCCTAAATACAAACTTGATCATCTATTTATATTACCTTTAAATTAATTAATAATGAACGTTATTACCAAACTAAGTTTAAAAGCTTACTTCTCTTACTGTCCTGTACATCCCTCATTCTCAGCAAACTTCTTGCTTGTATGTTGCACTTTCCAACTAGAGTATCTAAAAGCAGAGATGACGTCTCTTGTTCTTTATATTGTTAGCATATGGACAGGAATCATAATCAAAGTTATAATAATATATCAAGAATTTTATCTCATTTTTCAACTTTAAACTACTTGCAAATTAGACATTATCAACCCCTTTATTTTTCAGACAAGGAAATGAAGGCTTTGCAAGGTTAAGAAACTTAGGATGCCATAGCTAATGAGGGACCACATTGAGATTTAAGCCCAGGTCTGTGAGACACAAGGTAGTATCATCCCATATGCTTTTTTTCTTTTCTTTTGTTGACACATTGTCTTGCTTTGTTGCCCAGGCTGGAGTGCAGTGGCACAATCTTGGCTCACTGAAACCTCTGCCTCCCGGGTTCAAGCTATTCTTCATGCCTCAGCCTCCTGAGTAGCTGGGATTACAGATACTTGCCCTGATGCTGGGCTAATTTTTGTATTTTTAGTAGAGATAGGGTTTTGCAATGTTGGCCATGCTGGTCTCAAGCTCCTGACCTCAGGTGATCCACCCACTTTGACCTCCCAAACTGCTGGGATTACAGGCGTGAATCACCACACCCAGCGCCATATACTTTTTCTGCATGGTGGCTAGAGGAGACAAAAATCATTCTTTGTTTCCTGAACAGAACTGCTGATAATCTCTATTACTTAGATTGGCAGATAAGACTAGCTGCTTGCAGAGTTTGAAATGCTCTCTCACATATCTATGCCTTTGCTCAAGCCAATCCCTTTGCCAGAGATGCCCTCCTTACCCATTCTGTTTGCTCATTCTTCAATAATTAAGTCAGCCTCTCCGTTTCTAAAACTTTGCTATCCTGCCGCTGTGTTTCCATAGCAACTTGAATCAATCTCTGTTTTGAAACTTATCACAACTTTACTTGTCTGACACCCTTTCCCCCACCATGAGTCACTGAGCTTTTTGGGGAAACTTGTCTTAAATCGACAATGCCTGGCATAGAAGATGTGAATTAGTTAGGGTATTTTTGGCCGAAAGGAACAAAATCCCCAACTCATTATGGTTTAAAGAAAAAGAAAATTTATAGGCTCACATAACTTGAAATCTAGTTTAAAAACATTGCAGAGATTTTGTGAGGACTGGATATTTTATACACATACATATAAAATATCCAACATTTACTGTATGTGTAGCATAGAGCATGCACCAAGTAAATAGGAGCTGTCATTATCCTTGGATAATTAATTTATCCATATCTGGGATCACATATGTCAGTTTTATTTGTGAAAACTTTCAAATTCTAGACTGCCTTTTCTAGATTTCTATGTCTCTTCCTAAACCTACTCACTTGGTAGAGGCACCTAGGAATCTGGAGAATTGGGTCCAACATCCTTATTAATACACTCTGCAAAAGTTCTTTTTTTTAGTTTTCTAATTTCTTATTTTTTAAAACTTTTGTTATAGTTTCAGGGGTACATGTGCAGGTTTTTTATGTATGGGGGTTTGTTGTGCAGATTATTTTGTCACCCAGGTATTAAGCATAGTACCCAAAAGTTATTTTTTCTGATTCTTTCCCTCTTCCTTTTACTCTCAAGTAGGCACCAGTGTCTGTTGTTCTCCTCTTTGTGCCCATGAGTTCTCATAATTTAGCTCCCACTGCTAAGTGATAACTTATGGCACTTGATTTTTTGTTCCTGCATTAGTTTGCTCAGGATAATGGCCTCCAGCTCTATCCATGTTCCCACAAAAGACATGATCTTGTTCTTTTTTATGACTGTATAGTGCTCCATGGTAGGTACCACATTTTCCTTATTCAGTATGTCATTGATGGGCATTTAGGTTGATTTCCATGTCTTTGCAATTGTGAAGAGTTCTGCAAGCAATTCTTATTCAGGTCTGGTGTCCCCTCTCTTCTCATCCCATAATAGAATCATAGATTCTTACTCTATTACATCTGGGAACACTCTTTCATTTACAGGTGGGAAAATTGAGGCCCTGGATTGGCGAACTGACTCTGTAATTAGCTCCACATCATGGATTCATTTGTTGATCTTCTCTGATCCTCCATCGCCTCCAGCATCTTTCCACTACATTTTGGCTTGTTGAAATCTTCACTGTCCACTAAAATCCTTGCTACTCAAAGCATGGTTGGAGGTTGAGCCACAGGAGCATCACCTGGAGCTTGTTAGAAGTGCAGACTCTTGGACCCCGCCCATGACCCGCTGAATTAGAATCTGCGTTTTCACCAGATCCCCATGTTAACCCTGGTGGTTCCTATGGACATTACAGTTTGGAAAGCACCTTTTTAAGGTACCTCAGAGATTCCCTAAGACTTTCCAGGTTTGAATCCTCGTACTGCAACCTGCCAGCTGTAAGAGGGCCAGTTATTTAACCCCTCTCTCAGTTCCCTCACCTGCAAAGTGAGGATGATTTAGATTTAAGAGTTCTTGTGAGTAGCAAATGAAACAGGGCACCAAAAATATCTGGTCTGCAGTTAAAAGTCAAAAAATGTTGACTATTATTTTCGGTCTACCCTCAGTGAGTATAATTATGCCACTTTTGAAGATTGCACTTCAGTTTTCATGTGCTTATCTTCCGTTCCAGTCTCTGAAGTCACTGTATTTTATCTCCATGGTGATCAAATACAATACCCTTTCTAATCTGTTCAATATATATTTATTACATTTAGCAGTTGTCAATGGTTTCATTTTATTTTCTAGATGCTCGTAGACCTATGTCAGAGAACCAGATTAATTCATTGTATTTTAATAAAGTCCTGACATTGTGCAGAATCTTCAAAGGAGCATAACATATGGGCAAAGGCCCTAATTAAACACTTGTTGAAAGTAAATTAGTTAATTAGAGTTGACCGCTACTTCCCATAGAGTGTAATCAACACGAGGTCTGCAGAGAGCACTGACATCCTGTGGGGGCAGAGACAGGGCTTGTTTTCAGGCAAAATTATGTACTTTAATAAATGCTTTTATGTGCCTCATCCCGTCCAAATTAGAAAAAAAAGGTCACTAAATCCACACAGAAAAAGAACCAAAATGATAATCACCCAGAGGATTTCTCACTTGCTTGTTTCTGACATTAAGGCACCCCTCACAAAACGTGCTATCATTTTTTTTTTTTTTCCTCCAAGGATGAGTAATTTTGAGAGTTAGGGATCCAAGGTTTCCTTTTATTTTATAAAGAAAGCTCCATTCTTTGCTGGACACCTTACTAGAAATAATGGAGGAAACAACTGGAATATGTAATCAATTCGTGGAATTTGCCCAACATTTAGTGGAGTAGGCTGAATTTCTGGATATCTCTTGTTGGAGGTGGAAGGGTATATTTAATTTTTTAACAGTACAATAATTTTGTTCTAAATAAAAATGCAGGATCTACTTCAGATAAAATACAAGTGAACCTAAGTCATCATTCATTCACTCTTTGCACTAAGCTCAGGCTATTTCTGAGGTTTTTGGATTTATGTTTATTTCATCTGGGTATGTAGTTTGGGTTTTGGCAAGCAGCAGCAATGGAAATACCATGAAGAAAAGAAAGTTAGTCTCAAAGCATTTTGGCCTTGACCAAACCTGTTGTTTCATGAAACTGAAGTTTTGACATTAAACTTTCTGGAGAGCAATTGCCAAATAATCCTGGTTTAGGTCATAATAGAGCAATAAATAAACAGTTTTCCTCTTCTATATGGCATGGTGGGAGTTGGCTAGGAGCAAGAAGAGCCCAGAGCTGAGATTTGGGAACCTGAGTTTTGGTTTTGTCTGCCATTTGTTGTGCTGACTTAGTCTGCCTTTAATACCAAGGGTACCCTAGAT